GGCACGATGGCTGCAGCTCAGCTCTGATCCCGACGTCACTCGTCCTCCTCTCGCTCGGCACAAAGGCGGCAGCTCAGGTCTGATCCCAGCGTCCAGTTTGACCACGGACTCCTCCACAGTCTTCTGAGCATGAAACTGAGGTCCAAGCCGGATAAACTTAGCGTCCAGCACATTTCAAAGTTTTTTTCTCAACTGCCAACGGTCTCTCTGTGCATGTTCCTTTTCTGTCCATTACCTGCCTCCCCCCACCCGCACTTTTTTTCACTTCCCGTTAATCCAGATGGAGGATTTTTTACAACAAGAACTCTGAAATAATATATTTATCCAACATATTACAAAATAAAACACATTTAATACCTCAGTGCATTACAATAAAATTAAATGTATTTTTCCAATAACAACAACAAAAAAACATTCTGACTGTAAATATAATCTGGTTATTACACTCTCCCTCCACACACACACAAAAAAAGGTATGCCCTCATGACTTGGCATTTCCATCCGATAAATTTATAGTAAGCTAGGTTGCCAAAGGGGGGCTGGGGTAATCCATTTGTAAAAACAAGAAACATATTTCACTGTAGGGTAAACAATACTAGGAGTACCTGGTGTGTCATAGGTCAGTCTTGCTGGAGCTTTCCTAAGTCTGTTAGGCCGTATAGACTCATCAGTCTGTAAGTCATCTTGAGATTCAGTGTCTGGGTCTAAAGTCCTTGTTGCTGGAACATCAGTCTTTGGGTTGCTGATCTCTTGTGAGTCCGAGTGTACAACTATGTCAGGTCGAATCTCTTCAATTTCAGTTTCCTGTTTCTCTTGAGCAGCTTGATCTTCAAATTGAAATCCAGATCAGCACTGACTGGTTCTGACTGCTCTTTGTCTCCTCTAGTATTGTGTATCATCAATGGTAAGTCATAACAGACTCAAAGTCCTTCATCTTCTGAATCTGTGCATTCCTCTTCATTCTAAAAAAGTTAAATCTGGTCCTCTGGACATTCAAAAAAACCCAAAACAAAGTAAAACAACAAAAAATGTAGAAACGTTTCGTCTCTCATCCAAGAGACTTCCTCAGTCTGAGGTGCTGTATTTAGCTCAGTCTCTTAAATAGCACCGTCTCAGAGTGGATCAACTAGTTTTGCTGCTGACAACCAAAACCAGCTGATCACATGCTCAAGAAGGACCATCAGCCTAACAATGGATCATTAGCACACTGATGGCTGTTTACTAGTCACAGAGGGCTGAGTGATACTAGCAATCACAGCATTGTAAGAGGGGGACAGTTGAACACGGAGGCCTCCACCCCTGTTTAACGATGGACGGTTTCTTTTCACAAAGATGGCCTCCTTTACTCCTCTCTCAAACCATCGTTCCTCTCTGTCCAGGATGTGCACATCTTCATCCCTGAAAGAGTGACCGCTGGCCTGGAGATGAGTGTAGACCGCAGAGTCCTGGCCTGATGATGTTGCTTTTCTGTGCTGGTCCATCCTTTTGGCCAGTGGCTGTTTAGTTTCCCCGATGTAAGACTGATCACAGCCCTCCTGACACTGAACAGCATACACAACATTGCTCTGTTTATGCCGGGGGACTGGATCTTTGGGATGAACCAGTCTTTGCCGTAATGTATTTTGGGGTTTAAAAGCCACTGGGACGTTATGTTTAGAAAATAAACGTCTCAGTTTCTCTGATACTCCCTCAACATATGGAATGACCACTGGTCTGGGTCTGGGTTCCTCCTTTTCACCTGTTGGCTGACTGGAGTCCTGTTTGGGTTTCTTCTCTGCTTTCAGGAAGGCCCAGTTATGATATCCACATTGCTCTAGAGCCTGTTTTGTGTGGGATTTCTCCTTCTGCCTGGCTCCTGAGCTAGTGGGGACGCTGTCTGCTCTGTGATACAGATACAGATAATATATTTATATATTATAATATATATATATATATATATATATATATATATATATTTATGTATTTATTTATTTATTATTTGTTTATTATTTATTTATATTTATTATTGTAAAAAAAAAAATCACAACTTTAGAATGCAATTGTCTGTAATAGATCTAACAATATTCAGTCAGCTCATCTGGACAGTTCCTTTTTTTTGTTGTTGTTGAGAGACAAAAAAAAGCAAGCGTCCAGATGACCTGACTGAACACTGTTGGATTACTTTACATGGATTATTGAGCATAAACTTTGAAGTGTGTAATAGAATTAAAAAGCAGAGGGTTTCGTGTTCTCCAGGAAATTAACTAGTTTAGAGCGGAAAGTTGAATTATTTGTTGTGTTTCTGAAATAACAATACAAAAAAACTAATTAACTTGTTACTATAGGCAAGACAAACATATTGTGATAATAAGGTGGTAAAGGACTATATTCAATAAAAAAAGCAATATAAAAAGGGTTGTAACTAAGATCAATCATCCAGCAAACAACATAAGCAATCTAAAGTATACTATACATATTATATAAAGTAAACAAACATCTCACATGAGGCACACAGAGAACATCCATCCATCCATCCATCCATTTTCTTTACCCGTTTATTCCATTTTGGGTCACGGGGGTCGCCGGTGCCCATGTCCAGCAATCACTGTGCGAGGGGCGGGGTACACCCTGGACGGGTCGCAAGTCCATCACAGGGACACATAGAGACAAACGAGACAAACAACCATTCACTCTCTCACTCACACCTAGGGACAATTTAGAGTTACCAATCAGCCTAACGTGCATGTTTTTGGTCTGTGGGAGGGAACCGGAGTACCCGGAGAAAACCCACGCATGCACGGAGAGAACATGCAAACTCCACCCAGAAAGGCCCCCGGACCGGGATTTGAACCAGGGACCTGCTCGCTGAGAGGCAGCAGCTCTACCAGTTGTGCCACTGTGCTGCCCCACAGAGAACATGACTTGGCTTATTAGCTTTAACAACACACTACATGCAACTTAATTTCTGCATGACTAAAATGTAAATTAATATGATGTTAACATCCAGACTAAATGATATAACATAGGCTCACTTTCTGTCATCTACACACAGCAAAAAACCAGGAAGCCAACAACAGATGCTCAAAAACAAAACTATATCTGTGTTGGGAGAGAAAAAGACTTTACTGCACGCAGCAGCGAACTTTACACAGAACAGTGCGTCAGAACAGCCATGGTGCATTCAAAAACGGAGATGAATTTCAGAAAGAAAACAAGCTACAGTCAAACAGAACTTAGCTCAGCAAGCAAACTAATCACATATAAACAATGTGGGCTTTCTAACAAGAATCACATAAAATTCATTACTTTAAAAAAAGTTCCACTTGGGGGGGGCCTAAGCAGCCGCTTATGATGCTTATGCCTCCAGCCAGCCCTGATCTGTTATGGCCTGAGGCCTTTGGTTTGCATGAAACTGTACAGTTGCAGGTTGATTTGCTGGCCCAGCTGTGCAGTAACATCTGGGATTGGCTGGCCTCTCCTGACTCCTCCCAGTGGACATCCCTCTGCATCCTGGTTGGATTATTTGTCTCCTGCTCCTCCAACCACAAGAGGCTCATCTATTTAAGCCCATCTCTCCTGTCAATCAGGACAGCTGTGACCTCAGCTCACCATTTTCTATGGGTGTCTTTAGTGTTAAAAAATTGACTTTGGCTTTGATGGTATTGATTTGAAATATAACCTAACTTCATAGCCAGGTCTTAAAGTTTCTGACCAAATGTTTGGTTTTGAGGTTTATCTTTGTGTGTCCATTATTAGAACGATTGTGTAAGTTTCTGAAGGCAGGCTCTGAAGTCTTCCTTGACAGAAGCCTTGTTTTAAGTTTTGATTGATTTAGGTTTAAGGCTAAAAGCTTTGCTTTTGATTATTTATGTTTAAAAGGGTTATAACGTTTACTTTTCTTCCTACTTAATTTGATATTTAAGATTGTGTAATTTTGTTTACAGAGTTTTATAAAAAACAACAACATTTGAACAGTTTTTGACTTTTATTTAGTTGGTTGATAACTTTTGGTAAAAGTTACATTTGTAAATCATAACTGATGGTAATCAGTACTATTAAAATACCCTTGTTTTGTTCAAATGTGTTTCTTAAATCATAACTGACATTTTTATTTGACATTGACATTTTTCTTCGTGTGTGAACAGAAAAAGTCAAGATTTTAGCTTTTCTGCCCCCTCAGATTGGAATGCCTTGCAAGCTGAATTAAAACTGTAAGATCTTGTTACACTGAGTGCTTTCTGCACACTTTTAAAAACCAACAAAGGATGTCTTGTCAATAGTGCCCGTGTTTCAAATCTTAAATTGCCATTGTTTTACATTTTTATTATTACAAATATTGCCCTTTACTGTTGTATTGTATGTTTTTATACATTTCTAAGTCCTTTTCTGTATCTTGTTACTTGTCTTGTTTTTATAACGTGCGCTGCTGCCTTTTCTTGGCGAGGTCACATTTCAGGTCTTGATCTCAATGTTTGTGTTAGCTGGTTAAATAAAGGTTTAATTGAAAAATAAAATAATACTGTGCTGAACTTTACTTAGACCTGTCCAAAGCCTTTGATACTGTAGATCATGACATCTAATGCCATAAACTCTCAGATATTGGTTTCTCATATCACATTGTTTGTTGGTTTTCAAACTATCTTTCAGGTCAGAGGCAATGTGTTGGACATAACAGTACTTCATCTAGCTCCCTAACAGTCACTAATGGTGTGCCACAGGGCTCAGTATTAGGATCAACTCTTTTTACAATTTAGTTAAGTAATATAGGTCAAAACATTCCTGACGCATCCTTGCATCTCTATGCTGACGCTACAATTGTTGTCAAACTAGCACAGTTGCCAAGATTTTCCAGCTTCTACAATCTGCATTTGACATCATTCAGTCAAACATATTTCATCTCAAACTGGTGCTAAATGCTGACAAAACCAAAGGAATGTTGTTTTCAAACAGAAAGATGGTGCCAGCAGTTTTTCTTCTTATTTCATCCATGTATGGGGTTCCTATTGAGTTTGTAGATTCTTACAAATACTTGGATATTTTGGTTGATGCACTATTGCACCTTTCTTTTAAACCGCACATTGAAAACTTGATAAAGAAACTGAAATTAAAACTGGGTTTCTTTTTCAGACAAAGATCTTGCTTAAGTCTGAATGTCAGAAAACGCCTTGTAGCTGCTACTTTCCTACCGGCCATTGATTATGGAGACATTATTTACATGAATGCTTCTGCCAGCTCCTTGCAGATGTTGGATGATGTCTACCATGACACACTAAGATTCATAACTGGTTGTAACTACCATACCTCTTACTGCCCTCTGTTCTCGTTGGTCAGTTGGTTATCATTAACTACACAATGCCAGGATGGCACCCTCTGGTGGCTGGTTCCTGTCCCTGCACTCCCTGGTGTCCCATTCTATTATTATCCTTATCTGTGTCACCTGCATCTCCTGTCCAGGTATTTGCAGTTGTGTCTCGTTTAGCCTGTGTATATAAGTCTGAGTCTTTGTGTTATTCGTTGTCCGGGAATCGTCTGGTGAAGATTCCTGAATCCCTTTTGTTTCTGAGATTTCTACCTGTCTCCTATTAATGTGAGTTCAGCTGCCACGTCAGCTCATTTATTTTGCATTATTAAAGTACTTCTTATTTTACCACTTGGTCTCTGAGTCCTGCCTGCACCATTGGGTTCAGCCCCAAAAAACACAGTTTATGACACACGTAGGCTCTCGCACCGGTTCATTTTCATCTATAAATCACTCCTTGTTCTGCTACCTTCTTATATCTCCTCCCACATGTCACGTCGTCAGTGCAGTTACGACATGCGTTCTCAGGCCATCATTACCTGCAATTGACCTCTCATTGCACCTCAGTGCAGAATGAACTTGGAAAAAAGTAATTTTCTTACTCTGCTCCTGTAACCTCGAACACCTTGCAACAAGAACTGAAGCTGTCCACCTTAAATTCTTTAGGGGATTTTAAACATTAGATAAGGTCAATAAAAACATAAAAGCAAATGTGTTCTTGTTTTTGGTATTTTACCTTGTTTTATAAGGCACCTTGATTTGATTGTTTTATAACACTACTTTTATTTTAATTGCATTTTACTGTAGTTTATTGTTGTCTGTACTTAATATGTTGTCTGTCTAAAACCATTTTCTCTTGTAAATGTGTCCTCGTGACTCAACCTATATAAATAAAGGTTGAATAAACAATAAATCCATTTTCATTTTCAAAACCTATTTACATCTGGGTTAATTGTTACATGACATGTGCCAGGCTGTAATCACACTCATCACCTGTTACTTCCAATCTCCCTCCTTAAATAAATTAAAATAATTTAAAATAGTGTATAATTTTAAATAACCAATCCATGCAGCATGGATTGTTTATTTAAAATATTACAGTATTTAAATTTAAATTGTAGTGGAGAAGCACAGCAGGGCATCAAAGGGTTAACCATTGACACAGCTCTGCAGCACGGAGCAGAAATGTACTTCTTGATCAATTACACTGCAACAACTGAACATAAAAGTTTTAAAATAATTAAAAAGAACTTTTAACACATATATTTTGTGATTTTGACAATTTTACGATGTGACATACTTTGAATTTTAAGATGGAAGACAAAAGTTGATTAGTGCAACTGGACAGCAAAGGGTTAACCCTTCAAAAAGCCGATGCAGCAGGAGAAATGTGTGCATGGCAGAGAACAGAGATCATGACAGGCTGCAGGAGGGAGCTTCCCCGTGCACATGTATGCTGCACACAGGTGCAAAAACCATCCATCCATCCATTTTCTTTACCCGCTTCTTCCAATTTGGGTCACGGGGGTCGCCGGTGCCCATGTCCAGCAATCACTGTGCGAGGGGCAGGGTACACCCTGGTCGCAAGTCCATCACAGGGACACATAGAGACAAACAACCATTCACTCTCTCACTCACACCTAGGGACAATTTAGAGTTACCAATCAGTCTAACGTGCATGTTTTTGGTCTGTGGGAGGAAACCAGAGTACCCAGAGAAAACCCACGCATGCACAGAGAGAACATGCAAACTCCACCCAGAAAGGCCCCTGGACCGGGATTTGAACCAGGGACCTGCTCGCTGAGAGGCAGCAGCTCTACCAGTTGCGCCACCGTGCAGTCTCGGGTGCGAAATCATTTAACATAATTTATTTTAAATAAACAATCCATGGCTCTTCCATCAATCAGCCAATTGTGTCATGTCCAATCTTACTTTGAAAATCCGCAATATAGTAAATCTGCAAAAAACGAACCGTGAAGTAGCTGCAACTAAAAAATTGACAGATTTTCAAGCTTTGTCAGGAAAAATACACAGTAACTGACCGCACAAAAATAAATTATTAAATGAGATTACAAACAAAAACAAATGTGTTTCTGATTTTTTTCACCACCCATAAGATCTACTTAGAATTCCTCATTAAAGAAAACAAGTGGTAAGTGGTAAATTACTTACTTTTTTTTTTATTGCTCAGACTCAAATTCCACATCTTGTGTTTACATTTTTTATTTATTTTTTTAACACATGCAGGCCATAATTTTATGATTAGAAGTGGGATAATAAAAATTCAAGCAAACATTTAAGTTGTTTTTAATGAAAAATATAGAATCTGCACTGCATGATTATTTAGATTACTGCATTTGTCAGGTGCAACTAGAAGGTAAATGAAAATGTTTTGCCTGTGTGTGTCTTCATATATCAGTTTGTTAGCAAAATATTTATTGAACCAATAGACATTTTTAATAAATTTATCAGATAGTAACGATTGGTTGTACATCTACAACTATTTACATTTTGGGATTAATTTAATTAAAGATGGCCACCACAGCTAATATCTCTTAGCCAACACAAGGAATGGCTGTTAGTAAATTGATAGATACTAAGAAATATCTTGTCTGTATCTATAAATTTAGTTACTAGATTCTGACAAGTTTAATTAAATTGTCTATAACTTTGACATGAAAGGCAGACGGGTGATATGCAGTCCTCAAAAAATACAAGGTCTTAAACTTGAACATGTTTTATATTTACTGTTAGGAATAAAATAACCTTTGATGATAAATTGTGGAAAATAACATGATGGGCTGTTGAGTAGAAGGTTTAATTATGAATTATGGAAAATAGATCATATAAAGACGGCTAAAATATCTGTCAGATGTGTAAACTAACATAAACTGATAAATAATATATTTTTGGTGACTGCTAACTTTAAAATCAACCATGACACTATCTGATGTCAGTAAAATAGTTCCTTATAAGTCCTTTAATGAGAAACAAAACATCAACTTCAAAAGTTTTTGTTCATTTAACTAAGATCAACTGTAACATCAAATTATAGTTCACATAATTTACGTATGTGTGAGGATTATAAAATAATTAATAATGAGTCAAAGAGCAACTTAATAGGTCAGAATGACTTTAGTAGAGCAATCTAAGATTTGATAATGTAATAATTACCAAGGGGATAATCAGAGTCTCACAGTCTTTGTGAGATTATGTAGGTTGGTGCTTATAATGTGTCACGTACTTAGTGGAAAAAGATGACAGCTAATGTGGGCCTGATTGATTGGACAAGGACTTCAGAGATTCTGTAAGGTGTTTGATTGGATAGACATTGAAAACAGGATGTGTCACGGGGTGGATAAACAGAGTCTATAAATGTGGGAACAGAGGTGATATACAGCAAAATTGTATTGTTCGGGGGGCCCTTGTTGTCAGGTAATATATATACACAATTCTCTCTTGTTCAAGCATTTTGAAGTCTGTAAAAATAAAGATGTTGTTTTATTTTGACATAAGAGTGTGTTCCTTCTGAGCAAACAACCCAGGCGGGGGAAGAGGAGAAAGGACATTGTTTCCCCTTACACTATTGTTTATAAACTTCTTGGTTATTATGTTTTGATTGTTATATTTTTATGTAAGATACAGAGTCATTTAATAAATCTGTAATTACAACAAGCAAATATTAAACCACCCCACCTGACTGAGGGTCCCAGTTCCAGTGCACAGTTTGTAAAACGCCCATCCAGGAACAAGCAGGATGGAGGAGAGAGCCAGAACCCATCCCAGCACATATGCCCAGGATGGATACACATACCAACGATTGAAGGTCAGAGGCTGGTATTCAACTAAAGAACATATGAAAGATCCCTGAAACAAATAAAGGAAATGGATTAAATGGTTGGATTCAGACTAAAACTCAAGTACAAATACAACATCGCACACTTTCTATCTGAATTCTGGAGCAGTGCCATTATCTTGATACAGTAACAGACAGATGTCTCACCAGTGAGACCAGCGGAGTGAGATAGAGCCAGCAGATCTTGAAGAGTGGGTTCAGATGAACACCAGTCATATCTTTTATGATGTTGTACAACCTCTCTGCCCCTAAATTGAGAGAAGGTTGGATTACATAATGATTAGATTGTATCTTGTCCTAAAGATGGTTTAATTACAAGGTAATTTCACAAAATTCTGGATAAGTTACCCTGGTCAGATATATATAACTCTGCTGAAATGAACAAAAGTAATATTCATTATGTTATTTAAGGTTATGTCATCAAGTTGCTCTTTTATATATTAAGATATAGGTTACAGATATTAAAGACACATTTTATTGAATAACATTATACCCACCAAATACCCATCCCAACGCTAGAGTTTCAAACACACTGAGAAAGAGGATGCAGGTTCCATTACATGCGTAGTAGTCAAATAACTGAAACACGTACATTCCACCCTTCAGGAGACAAAATAAAAGTTTATTGTTTATTCTTTTTAAGTTGATGGAAGTAAATCTGAACCACTGTTTGTATTTGGTTCATCACAATACAAACCAATAAAAAGAGAAAATTGAAAATACTCTTCAATTAACCTTTATTTATCCAGGCAAATCCCATTGAGATCACATATCTCTTTTGCAAGGAAGGCCTGAAGGCAGCCTAACAATATTTGTGCATAAATGAAGAAACACTAATAGATGAATAAAAACTGACTTCGGTGATCATGAAGAGCTGAGAAAAGAAGCAAATTAGGCAGAAAATGAGGAGGAACCACTCCCGCCGTCCTGCCCTGCGCATAACTCTTGGGAACATATCTATGATGGATGTCATCACCACCTCCATGGCCACAAACTGCACACAAAGCAGAAGTACATTTCCAAATCTGAGTGCATTCATCAGAAAAAAAGAGTCAGTCCAGTTCTGTTTTACTTGTGTATCCAGTCCCAGGAGAATAAGCATGACAAAGAAGAAGACGGACCACAGTTGGGGAAAGGGCATCATGGCTACAGCCTGAGGGTATGCAATGAACGCCAAACCTGGACCTGGAAAATAACATCACCTTTTAAGATAAGAAAAGATAGAACTTATTGAACTAATCAAACTAAACATCTATCTTGATCTGCCTTAACCATTTTTTTATTTCATTTACCCCTTATTTACGCAAGTATTGAGTCACATTAACTCATTTTCAAGAGAGACCTGTTTTTGGGAGCAAATGGTGGGGGTTAAGGGCTTTGCTCAGGAGCTGAGAATGGGGCAAATTAGGGTGGAGGCAGGTGTAGGTGCTTCACTTTTGCCACCCACATTTTGATGTTGACTGTACCGGGAGTTGAACCTGCGACTTTTTTCCAATCACATGCCCATCTTCTCTTACCTCTGCACCACCACTCCCCATGTTACCTTAGGTGTATGCGGTTAAAAAATAGACTGTACCTTCTGAAAGTCTGACAGAAGATGAGTATGCAGCTTTGTAAATTATATCACTGACACCACTGAGCTGGTGTACACCACAGTGACTGTGATCCTTGGCTCACTTGTCTATAAGATAAAGCCTACAATGAATGAATACAACCATAGAATTGAGAGCCTATGGAAGGATGTTTGGACAGTACACATTCCTCTAAAGGCTCACGGCTGATTTGGACAAGTTTTCTTCTGGCTGTTCCTGACATTGAATGTTCGTGGTGAGATGTATTGTGTCACTTCCTGTTTTCTCTGTTGGTAGCTCAAATAATTTGTTTGCTCAAGTAGTCTTTTGTTTTCTGGATTTATCTATCTTTTGCACAGTTTTTCATTCTAATACACAAACACCCTCAGTACAGTTGTTTTTCAACTGTTGGATAGTGCTTGAAACACCTTATATCTTTTAACACTTCTCAGTTTTATTGGTGAATTGGGATCTGCTAGCTCTTGCTAGTGTTAGCTTAGCATGCTACTGCTTCTCTCCAAACTTCCTCTGTTGTCACTTGCTGCATGTGTCAGATGTTTAGTTATTCCTGTACCTCTTTTAGTCGTAATAATACATGTAACAAATGTAATCGTATGGTAGCTTTGGAGGAGAGGCTGTCTGAACTGGAAGCTCAGCTCCACGCTATAGAGAAACCATTAGCTAGCCAGGTCCCCTTAGACAGCGTGGAACCACAGAGACTAGCCCCCGTTAGTGGTCCTTCAGCAGACCCCAAGCAGCCGGGATCCCAGGCTGGCTGGGTGACAGTACAGAGCAAGTGTAGTTTTCATTCATTCAACCTGTATTTAGACAGGTTAATCCCATTGAGTTTCGGGGTCTCATTGACAAGAAAAACCTGATTTCTTAACAAAGAGTGTAGTGCTAAGGCTAAGCCCCTAGTTCATCACTGACCCGTTCACGTTTCAAATCGATTTTCCTTGCTCAGTGAAACACCCACTGAGAAACAGACCCTGGTTATTGGCAGCTCCATAGTCCGAAACGTGACTTTAGGGACTCCAGTGAACATAGTAAAATGCATTCCGGGGGGTCAGAGCGGGCAACATTGAATCTTATCTGAAACTGCTGACTAAGGCTAAAGCTAAATACAGTAAGATTGTTATTCACGTCGACAGTAATGACACCCTTTTTTTTACAAATCAAAACAAAATAGCAACCAAAAGGACAGTCAAAAGGAAAAGTAGCAACAACAACAACAAAAACAGCTAGATTATAAGGTGGTGTAGAAAACTAAAAACAGGAACATGTCTGCATTAATTTTTGCCAGGAACTTAACAGCTGTTTAAAGCCACTTAGAGAAGTAAAGGTCGAGAGCTTCAGATCTTTTTGCAAGATATTCCAGGAAACAGGAGCGAAGTAGGAGAAGACCCTTTTGCCTAGTTCAGTTCTCATTCAGGGAACACTGCATGTAATAATGTCCTGGGAGTGTACGTTGTAGCTGCACTGACGCAGAGACATGTACGAGGAGATGCATGAAGGCCGCAGACCAAGAAGTGATTTAAAGTTTAAAAAAGTAGCAGTGGGAGAGTCTCCGTGAAGTTAATGATGTCCAGTTAACCAGTGAATACAAGGTGCAATGATGGGTATGGTCGTTACAGCCAGTTATGAATCTTAATGCACTGTGATAGGCAACATCCAACATCTGCAGGGTGCTTGTAGGAGCATTCATGTAGATAATGTCACAGTAGTCAATGGAGGGAAGGAGAGTCACAGTTACAAGGCGTTTCCTAGCATTCAGAGTTAGGCAGGATCTATTTCTGAAAAAGAAACCCAGTTTAACTTTCAGTTTCCTTACTAGGTTTTCCACGTGAAGCTTAAAAGAGATACGCGAGTCGACCAAAATACGCAAATATTTATAGGAATCGACAAACTCAATAGGAACACCGTTTGAGGATAAAATCAGAGGAAGAACTGCTGGGATTGACTTCCTGTTTGAATAAAGCATCCCTTTGGTTTTATCAGCATTTAGAACAAGTGTGAGATGGTACAAGTCTGACCGGATTATATCAAAGGCAGATTGCAAAAGCTGGAAAACCTTAGCAGCTGTTTTAGCTTGACAATAAACAACTGTGTCATCAGCATAGAAATGTAAGGATGCCTCAGGGATGCTCTGACCTACATTACCTATGTAGATTGTAAAGATAAGGATGTGGGGTACATAAATAACTGGAGTGCTTTTTGGGGGAAACCCTCGTCTGATGTGGAGAGATGGCATCCACCCCACTTTGGATGGAGCCACTCTTCTTTTTAGAAATTTGGCAGATTTTTTTTAGTCCTCCAAATTATTGACAACATAGGGTCCAGTCCAGGAAGCAGAGTTGGAGTCTTACACACCTCTCTGCTGCTTCTCCTCTGTTACCCACCCAAACCCCCATTGAAACAGTGTCAACTCGCCCAAGGCTCAAATTAAATAAACCAAAAATCAGCTCTAAAAATATAAACCATAAAAATCTTATTAAAATAAGCACAGTTACTCTACCAGAACAAAATAATAAAATCGTTAAATGTGGATTATTGAACATCAGATCCCTTCCCTATAAATCCCTGTTGGTTAATGAACTGATAACTGATCATCATATTGATTTATTCTGTTTGACAGAAACCTGGCTAAAACAGGATGATTTTTTTTTAGTATAAAGGAATCTACTCCTGTTAAATATTTAAACTTCCATGTTCCTAGAACAACGGGCCGAGATGAGGAGTAGCTTCTATTTTTCAGTCAGGATTATTTATTAATGCTAAAGCAGTTATTAGTTATGCGCTTTCCCTCAGTCTTAAATGGAAATCAGAAAAGCCAGTTTTATTAGTTGTTATATATCGTCCACCAGGTGCTTACTCTGTTTTTGTCTGAATTCTCAGAATTCTTAACTGACTTACTACTAAATACTGATAAAGTCATAATAATGGGTGATTTTAATATTCATGTAGATGTTGAAAGTGATAGCTTAAGCATAGCCTTTAATAATTTAACAGAGTCAATTGGTTTTACCCAAAATGTCCGCACATCTACTCGTTCTCATCATCACACTCTTGACCTGGTTCTGATCTATGGCATAGACATCAAAGTTCATGCTCAGTCATCCAGGTACTAAATCCAATAATGCTTAGTCAGGTCATCTGGACAGTTTCTTTTTTGTAGAGACGTTTTGCCCTTTATCCAGAGGGCTTTGTCAGTCTGAGGAGTCCCAAGTAAACTGTTTCTCCACCAAGCACCAGTTTACTTGGGACTCCTAAGACTGAAGAAGTCATCCAGATAGAGATGACCTGACTGAGCATTAACACAAAACTGAATTTTGTTGTTTGTTATACATACAAAAAATAAAGATGGTTTTAGCAGTTTTCTCTTTTCAGGTTTTGGGTAATTTCTTTTGCAAATATGCCATTACTAGAATTAAAGCAAGGAGTAATATGCTCACGTTAACTTCATGCTTTATAATGTAGCTGTTTTTGTTTAGTTTTTTTTTTTTTTACATTTCTTCTATTTACTTTTCATTTTACATGGCTGTCAATTGTTGTGGGTTCCTCATCTGTGTTCTTTGCTTAAAACAGGTCTCCCTTGTAAATGAGTCCTCGAGGCTCAGTGAGACTAACCTGTATAAATAATGGTTGAATGAATGAATGTGGAGCATTGTCCATCGTGGAGAAGGACGACGGAAACTAAAATCAAGGCAACACAAAGAAAAATAATCCAGCTATACGAACAACAGAAAGGTTTGCCTCATTGATAGACCTCGCCAGGATATACAGCAATGACATTGGAATGCCATTTGGACTGGATAAATTAGGTTGAATGGTATGCAGGAGAGGCAAGGTGATGACAACTGAAGGGGTTGAACTACCAGAAGGGCTTTATCAGTCTGAGGAAACATCAAACAAAACTGATTCTCCACCAACAGCCTATTCCAAAGTGAAAAAAAAAAACCCAGTTATGTTGGTGCTAAAATGTCCTCTGGAGCACACCCTCTACTCCGGTACCCACCCTCTCCCTCATCGACAGTCATGTCAAACTGGTTCAAAACACCAAAGTCCATGCTCAGTAATCCATAAATCACCACAAGGCAACATTGCAGATATCCTGGACAGCTACAAATACCTTGGAATCCCACAAGCAAATCAAGTTCAAGTCAATTTTATTGTCATTCACATCACATGTGAAACGGTAATCATCATGAGGTTGCAAGAAAGTCTGTCACAGCTAATTACTTACAGAGATCAAGGCAGATCCTGAAGAAACAGCTGAACATCAAGAACAAAGTCCAAGCAATATGCAGTGCGAGACATCAGATACCCAGATGGTATATTGGGATTACAAGAACAGCTCTAAAATGGTTTAAATCACATATATCTGATAGATTCCAGTTTGTAAATGTAAATAATAAATCTTCTTCATACACCAAAGTTAGTCATGGAGTTCCTCAGGGCTCAGTGCTTGGGTCAATACTCTTTACTTTATATATGCTTCCATTAGGTAAAATTATTAAACAGCATGGGATAAATTTTCATTGTTATGCTGATGACACACAATTATATTTGTCCATTAAACCCAATGAATCCAATCAGCTACTTAGATTACAAACATGTCTTAAAGACATAAAAACATGGATGACCCTTAATTTTCTCCTTTTGAACACAGACAAGACTGAGGTTTTTATTTTTGGACCTGAGCACTTTAGGAATGAATTTTTCAGTCTTTCTCCCTCCTTAGATGGCATTAATCTGTCCTTCAGCTCTAATGTTAAAAATCTTGGTGTTATTTTTGATCAGGACATGTCTTTTATCCCCCACATTAAAAACGTTACTAGAACTGCCTTCTTCCACCTGTGTAATATTACTAAAATTAGAAACATCTTATATAAAAATGATGCAGAAAAACTGTTTCATGCATTTGTCAAATCTAGACTGGAATATTGCAATAGTTTATTATCTGGGTGTCCAAATACTTCCATAAAACGTCTTCAGTTATTCCAATATGCTGCTGCCAGAGTCTTAACTGGAGTTAGTAAGAGAGATCATATTTCTCCAGTTTTATCGTCTGGCTCTCTGTCAAATCCAGAATATAATTCAAAATCTTACTTTTAACCTACAAAAGCTCTCAACAACCTGGCTCCATCTTATATTACAGATCTTATTGTTCCATATTTTCCTAACAGAGCACTTCGCTCTCAGACTGCAGGTTTAATTGTGGTTCCTAGAATTTACAAAAACAGAATGGGAGGCAGATCTTTCAGTTATCAGGCTCCTCTCTTGTGGAACCAACTTCCAATCTCTGTCCGTGAGGCTGACACATAATCCAGTTTTAAAACTAGGCTTAAGATCTCCTGATGCATGCTCAATAATCCAGGTAGAAAATCCAAAAAAAGTTCAATCTAGGCTTAAGACTTTCCTTTTTGCTAAATCCTATAGTTAGGATCGGCTTGTGTCTCCTGAACTGTCCCTTAGTTTTGCTGCTATAGGCTTAGACTGCTGGAGGACAAGCTGACCACAATTTTCACTCTGCAACTGTCTTTACTCACTCTGCTCAACCTGTTTTGTATTTGTAATTATTTTTTCTATCCTTAACATGTGTTTTTTTTTTTGTCTTTCAGATACACCTGGACCTATATCTGGACCTACCATTCTATGTTTGTCTGTCTCTCCTTCCTGTTCTCCCAACCAGCTGTTCAAAGCAGATGGCTGCTAGTCCTGAGCCTGGTTCTGCTGGAGGTTTCTTCCTTTTAAAAGGGAGTTTTTCCTTTCCACTGTTGCCACTGTGCTTGCTCAGGATGGGAGACTCCTTAGATAGAGAACTTTACTAATTGGCTTTTATGTATGTGAATGTTTTTGTAAAGTGCCCTGAGACAACTTTGTTGTGATTTGGCAACGCTATATAAATAAACTGAATTGAATTGAATTGAAATGAATTATAATAGGCTATGCAAAGGAGGAGACAGAAGCAACTGACATCACAACTTGAAAGCTGCTCACAATGTATGGAGGGTTTCACCACAAGTCCAGTGCCCTGAAACCATACACTATAAGAAAAGAGGAATGCAGAGGACAGGCAGAGTGTCTGAGCCACTATACAGAATAATTTGTAAAAAGTTTTGTAAGCTCAATCATCCAGGTAGATAAAAAAGGTTAAATCATGTTATCTGGACCACTTTCTTTAAGTGAGAAACGTTTCGTCCCCCATCCAGAGGACTTAGTCAGTTTGCGACCTGCCAACAAGATCTGTCCCATAAGTAGCCTTCATTGCTGTAGTTCAAGCCAACCTCCTGTTGGAATCTCAGAAGTAGGCTTTTAACACATGCAAACAGAGCGCACCCACCTAAAACAATCATCAGGCAGGCCACAGACTGGCAAAGTCCTCCAGATGGGGGACAAAACATTTGTCACTTAAAGAAACTGGGCCAGATGACATGATTTAACCTTTTTTGTTATATAGAATAAAACAACTAAGATCCTAGAGTGCATCAGGAGGAAATTCCCCAATCATTAATTGATAAGTGAATGTCTCAGGCAGTAGCGGAAACCCAATGTGGAAGAGGAGGAACAAGGGGAGCCATCATGGAAAGATAAGCCTGTAGCTGAAGGAGTGGCAGATATCAACAAATTCTACCAGTGACTAGAGAGGGCTGGACTGAAAGTTAGCACAGAGGCCCTAATCATGGCAGCACAAGAACAGACCCTCAGCACAAGAGCAATAGTCTGGGGTCTACCATACTAGACAAGACCCAAGGTTGACTGTGCAAAGATGCTCCTAAGACAGTTCAACACATAATTTATTAATTTATTCATTCATTTAAAAGAAACAAAAAAAAATCATCCAAAAAAAAAAAAAAACATTGAATTAAAAGGGTGCAGAAAGAAGAAAAAATTATTATAATAAGCAGGATGTAATAGCAGGATGTAAGATTCAGGCAGACAAAGCATACATAGAATGTGATAATAAATATGTGCCAAGTATTGACTAGAGATCCCACAGTAAAAGTTGGAGATGCCACCAAAGGTGGTGGAGAATAGCAGGACTAAGACTTACAAACAGGTGATGGCTAACCAAACAGACATTATGTTTGTTGACTAGCTATAGAAGAAGGCAGTGGTGATAGATGAAGCAATCCCAAGTGACTAACATTAGGATAAAGGAGCATGAGAAGCTTTAGAAAGAAGGTCTTCGGTTCAATCTCCCACTTGGACCTGGAGTCTTTCTGTGTGGAATTTCTATGTTTTTCTTGTGTCCGCATGAGATTTCTCAGAGTACTCCAGTTTCCTCCCATAGTCCAAAAACATTCATGTTAGATTGCCTTCAGGCCCAGGCCTCCTTACAAAATATATCTGTGATCTCAATAGAATTTACCTGATTAAATAAAGGTTAATAATAAAAATACCAAGGGCTGAAAGAAGAAATAGAGAATCATGGCATCAATAGACTCTAAGTGGTCAATGGAGCACACACTGCTTTGACTTTTAAACTGGAAGAGTGTCTCCAACAGGAACAACCTCTAAGATCTCTGTCAAGAAGAGCACAGTCCTAGGAAGAGCTAAGATACTGCACAGAACCCTCAAGCTACCAGATTTCTGGCAGAGGATCCAAATTTGACGTGAAGTGAAACCGCCAGTTGGAATAATGGAGTAAGCTGGTGTAGTCTATATACAGAAGCTTCCCTTTTCTAAGGCTCTAAGGTTAAGTCCAACCACCTGAACTGAGGAAGCTCGCGTCTGCTTTTATCCTGCATCTCAATCTTTTGGCCATGATCCATGTCTTATGGGCATAGGTGAATGTTGTAATAGAGAAGAAGCAATATCTTCAGAGTTTTGTCTTTCAGCTTAGCACCTTCTTTACCACAGCAGACTAGAGCAACAATGCCCTGTTTTTGACCCATCTCTTTCATAGTCATGGAATTATACACAAATAAGACACCAAGATACTTAACTCTTACTCTTGCGGCAAAACCTCAACCCCAACGTAGAAGGAATAAGGTGTTTGAAAGAATTCTGAAACCATTTACCCATAAGTCCAGCCAAATGTATTTCCATGTTTTTTACCATATCTGAACAATACCTGATTCTGCCACTTCTGCAATGGGAACACCTTGCTCATGAGCCATGAATCCCAGCACAGAGAAGACTGCAAACCCAGCTACAATACTGGTACCACTGTTCAGCAAACACAGCCACAGGCAGTCTCTGAAAAACATAACATATGAACTATTTAAATTTTTAGAATGTGTTGAATGCATTTCTAATGCCCTTATAAGTTTTTTGGTTTGGTAAATTTGTATGGAAAAGTATCAGAATTTAATTAATGCCTGAAACAGAAATTTAGACTAAAACGCTGACAGTTACCTGTAGCAGTTGTTGTTGTATGTGTTGTAGCTGCCTAGCACAGTAAGGGAACCCACACCAACACTGTATGAGAAGAAAATCTGAGCACCAGCTTCCATCCACACCTGTCCCAACAACAGCAGTGGTAAGCCCATTCAACCTGCACTCTGCTGTTACATTAATAAAATCTTACCTGAGGGTCTGTAAGTCGTGATGGATTGGGCAGAAGATAAAACACTACTCCTTCAAAAGCACCAGGTAGACAGAGTCCTCGAATCAAAAGTATTATTAGCATCACATAGGGAAAGGTGGCAGTAAAATACACCACCTAGAGAAAGTAAAAACACAGTAACCACCCAAAATATAGATTTTGTAAGTGACTGTTTTGAATATAGTTGAAGTGGAAATGTAATAAAGGTGAGAATGAAGTAGAGGTGGGAATGTAGTACAGGTGAAAAGAGTGTCAGATAGGGTGATGTGCCTGGAAGTAAAAGGTCTGATGCTAAACTTTGTCAGTGGTGATGTCAAGGAGAAAGAGTGGTGATCGGAGAAGACCTGAAAGGACATGTTGGTGAAGGAAACAGATGGGATGAGGAAGTGATGTGTAGGTATTATGTCAAGGAAATAAACCAGGAAGGACAGGTGGTGATTTTGCCAAGAGAATGGAAATGGTAGTAATCAACACTTATTTCCAAAGGAGGGAGGAACATAGAGTGACCTATAAGAGTGGATAAAAGAGTATGCAGGTAGACTACATTCTGTGTAAAAGAGGAAACCTGAGGGAGATTGGGGACTGTAAGGTTGTGGCAGGGGAAAGTGTGACCAGACAGCATCAGATGGTTGTGTGTAGAATGACTGTTGTTGTGAAGAAGAGAAAAAGAGGAAAATCAGAGAAGAAAACAAAATGGTGGAAGCTGAGAAAAGAAGAATGTTGTGAAAAATTAAGAGAGAAGCTGTTGAATGCTTTAGGTGGTAGCCAAAAATCAAAACCAAAAACATGCATGTTAGGCTGACTGGCAACTCTAAATTGTCATTAGGTGTGAGTGAAAGAATGAATGGTTGTTTGTCTCAGTTCTCTATGTGGACATATTTGTCTCTCATTTGTCTCTGTGATGGACTTGCGACCTGTCCAGGGTGTACCCCACATCTCACACATTAACTGCTGGAAATGTGCACCAATGACCCTCGTGACCCAAAAAGGAAGAAGCGAGTAAAGATAATGGATGGATGGATGGATGAAACCTGATGTTGGGATAGTGAAGTGCAGGAAGCTATTTAAAGAAAAAGGTTAGCCAAGATGAAATGCAACAGTGAAATCCTGATGTTGGGATAGTGAAGTGCAGGAAGCTATTTAAAGAAAAAGGTTAGCCAAGATGAAATGCAACAGTGAAAGAACTGAAGAGAGGAGACAGGAATACAAGGAGATGCAATCTAGAGCAAAGAGGGAGGTAGCAAATGCAAATCAGAAGGTATATGATGAGTTGTGTGGGAGGCTAGACACTAAAGAGGGCGAGAAGGACTTTTGTTGATTGGTGAGACAGAGGGATCAGGCTGGAAAGGATGTGCAGCAGGTTAGGCTTGTTAAAAATAGGAATGGTAATGTTCTAACAAGTGAGGAGAGTGTAACAGGAAGATGGAAGGCGTACTTTGAAGAGCTAATGAATGAAGAGAATGAAAATAAAAAATAGTAGAGGTTATAGAACCTGTGGACTAAGAAGTGGGAAAGATTTGTGAAGGTAAAGTCTGGAAAGCTCTAAAAAGAATGAAGAAGGGGAAGGCAGTAGGACCTGATGACATATAAGTGGAGGTTTGGAAATGTCTTGGAGAGATGGCAGTGAGGTTTTTGACTCAAATAGTCAAGGGCATATATGAGGCTGAGAAAATGCCTGAGGAATGGAGAAGAATGGTGGGGTCATAGAAACTGTGGATCAGGAAGTGGGAAAGATTAGTTGTAAGGATTTGCTGGCTCTGTTTGTGTCTGTTTCCCTAGTGTTTCCTCGTCAGTTTAATTGGTGCCACCCTTGTCTCGTCACAGCTGTTTGTAATCACGTCTCGTCTTGTCCTTGTATATAAGCCTTCTGTTCTGTCTTGTTCCTCGTCGCGTCGTATTCGTTGGGTCTCTGTGTTCTCCTGCGTTCTCCTGCGTCTCCCCTGAGCTCTCCTGTGTCCTCCCTGAGTTTCCCTCTGAGCCTTCCGTTTACATGTAAGTTTTGCTGCCACGTCAGCTGTTATTTTTTTTCTTTATTCACTATTAAAATACTTATTTTTGTAATCTGCCGAGTTGAGTCCTGTCTGCACTACTGGGTTCGTTCCTGTCCACCAAATCCTGACATTAGTGAGGTTGTATCTTTGTGGATTTAGAAAAAGCATATGACAGGGTGCCAAGGTAGGAGGTGTGGTATTGCTTGAGTAAATCTGGAATGACAGAGACGTATGTTAGACTGGTACAGGACATGTATGAGGACAGCAGGACAGTGGAATGACAGATAACTTCAAGGTGGAGGTAGGGTTGCATCAAGGATCGGCTATGATTGTTTGCTCTGTGATGGACTGACTACCAGATGAGGTCAGGCAGGAATCCCAACGGACTATGATGTTTGACGATGATGTGATCTTTGGTGAGACAGGGAACAGGTCGAAGATAACTTGGAGTGGCGGAGGTATGCACTTGAAAGAACTGGAATGAAAGTCAGCCATAGTAAGACAGAGTACATGTGCCAATGAGAGGGAGGCTGGTGGAACAGTGAGGCTACAAGAAGCAGAGGTCAAAAGTTGCAGGACTTCAGGTACTTGGGGTCCACCTTCCAGGAAAATGGGAAGTGTGATAAAAAGGTGAAAAAGAGAGTCCAGGCAGGATGGAGTGAATGGAAAAAGTTTCAGGAGTGATTTGCTACAAAAGGGTGTCAGCAAAGGTCAAAGGAAAAGTTTACAAGACCGTGGTGAGACCAGCTATATTGTATGGTCTGGAGAAAGTTGTATTGACAACAAGACAGGAGAAAGAACTGGAAGTGGCAGAAACGAAGATATTGACATTCTCCTTAGGAGAGGTAAGGATGGATAACATTAGGAATTAAATCATCAGAAATACAGCACAGGTTGAACAACTGGAAAATAAAGTTAGAGAGGCCAGATTGAGATGATTTAGACATGTCCAGAGGAGGGGCAGTGGGTATATTGGTAAGAGGATGTTAGAAAAGCAGCTGCCAGGAAAAAAGACAAAGAGGAAGGCCAAAGAGAAAATATATGGATGCAGTTAGAGAGGACATGGAGGTAGTTGGAGTGAGGACAGCAGATGAAGAGGACAGAGTGAGATGGAGAAAGATGACTCGCTGTGGCGACCCCGGAAGATGGAAATGCTTAAAAAAGAAGAAATGACAGTTTTGTGTTGTCTATGTTATACCTTTCCTGTTGACTTGACACCTTTCCAGATGCAAAAGTAACAGACCACCCACATCACAATAAGGCACAACAGCACCTCCCACCTGATATTGCCCAACTCTTCAATACCCCCTGAAATAGCCAGCACCCGTCGTCTACACATGAAAAAAAACAACCAAATATTTTAAGAATTGGTCTTGTTTTATATTTATTTATCATCCAGTACTGACATACTCCCAGAATTCGGTGGCTGCAGAAGTCAAATTTGTCTTGTTGGTCCAATGGATGGTCTCATTTCCTGATGAAAAGTCTACACACTCATCTGAAACAATGGTGGTGAGTTAGGAGTTACAGTGACTTAACAGATATTATACAGCTGTCTACTGTTTTAACATAGTGTTTTTAGACAATGATGCTGTTGTATTTTACCTGTGTTCCAGTAGTTGTTGCAGCTGGCCCACGGGAGTTGGGTGCTGAAGGAGAATGCCAGGTAGAATAAAGCCCACGACAGAATAATGATGTAAGTCATACAACTGTAGAGAAGAATTAGCTGGCCACCATAGCCTATACCTGCAAAATAGGACCTGACATTTTAGAGACTAATCTCAAAAGGAAAAAAATCCTTAATTTTTTAAAACACCCATTCAACACATTTATGTGGTAAGATTTACTGTTCTAATAAATTTTACTGGTAAAACAAATATGTAAATATATGTATGTTAGATCCAAATGACAGAAAAGTCTTTATTTCCATAATTACAATTGAACAAAAAGGTCTCGAGTCTGTTACCTTCTGCAAGTGGGCACAACGTCCTCCAGCATGTGATGCCGCCTTCCTGGGTATACTGACCAACTACTGTCTCCAGCAGGAAAAGGGGTACCCCACAAGTCACCACAAATACAAAATATGGCACCAAGAATGCACCTGATTTAAAAAATGACACACAAAAGTACCTGTCTCAGTATCATTGCACAACATTCATGAGTAATGTACAGTGATATAGGCGTTTTTTTGTTTTTTTGTTTTTGTTCATTTTTTAATTTAGTGAATATTTTTACCTGAAAAAAACAATTTAGGTTGTTTTTTTTTTGCGTTCACATATTGAATACAGATGAGCAAGTTTCAATTATATAACTGCTGGAAGGCATTTCATATTGTGCAATCCTGCTTTGCCTCTCCAAATGGTTAAACTTTAGCTACTGCTCCTATTCAAGACTTGTCTTTAAAACATATTGGTTTTGTTAGCACTCAAATGGACCTTCCTTCAGGATTGCTGTTCCAAAACACATTGAGTAGTTTTAGTAAATTGTTATGATTCTGAATAGAGCCATGCTGTACTTTTTCCTACAAAAGTAGGCAAAATGATTCATTTGTACCCAAAAAACTTTTATTGTCTTGACTGAGGTCATCTTCAAGTTTCACAAAAGTGGAAGTTTTAGAGCGAGCGCAGGAGGAGCAGTCTGTCATCTGGTGGAACAGATACCAGGTCAGACCCACCTGGAGACAGAGACACTGCAGCCCAGAGGTAGAGATCCTCTTGTCTCCTCTTTTAGCAGAGGAAGAAAAGAGGAGGATGTACCAGCTCCGGGGAACCCGCCTGGCTTTCAAGCCTGTTTTCTCCTCCTCTTCGCCACCTTGCTCGCCTCTCAAGTTTTTTGAGTGGCCATTGGAGGAGGATCCAGAGCCCGATGATGAGCTCTGATTCGACCTTGGTCCTAGCTCATGCCACCACAAGGGGCTGACAATGGACCCAGGTCCAGTTCGCTGAGTCTCCTGTGTCTCTGCCAGCATGTCCTACATCGCCGCCAGTGTGTTCTGTGCTGCTATTAGTATCTCTTGTGCCGCCAGGGTCTCCAGCATTTTCGAAGCAGCAGAGTCCTGCTCAGCAGAGAAAGAAGCTGAGTCCTGCTTAGTCGATGAACCCATCTCTCAGTGTCTCTGTGGGGGCCAGCCATAATGCCTCACCTTCCAGTTTCTCTGGGGTGTTGGCTGCAATGACCCACCTGTTCCCTGTGTCTTTGTGGGTGTTGGCTGTGATGACCCACCTGTTCCCTACATCTCTGTGGGTGTCGGCTACAATAACCTACTTGTTCCCTGTGTTTCCTTGGGTGTCAGCTGCGATGAGCCACCTGTTTCCCATGTCTCTGAGAGGGTCCAAGAGGACAGTGCTCATTCTTCCTCTGTGAGGGTCCTTGGGGACACAACTCACTCTTCTTCTGAGAGTGTCCAGGAGGATGTCTCACACTCTTTGTCTGAGAGAGTCCAGGAGGATAACGCTCATTCTTCCTCTTCACCTCCTGTGGGTACCAAACCTCCTGTGGTTCCAGACTTTCCTGTGGTTCCCAAGTCTCCAGGGGTTCCCATATCTCCAGTGGTTCCCATTCTCTAGTGGTTCCCATGTCTCCAGTGGTTCCATTGTCTCCAGAGGGTCCCATGTCTTCTGATGTTCCCATATCTCCTGAGGATCCCATGTCTTCTGAGGGTCCCATGTCTCCTGAGTTTGCTATGCCTATTGAAGTTCCCATGGTAGCTATGCCCAGTGCAGCTCCCATGGTTTCTATGCCTGTTGTGTTGCAGAGGGGACAGAATGAAATCTATATGGTGCAACAATACAACTTCTATTAGCTATCCTAGATGTTTTGAGTGAAATGAGCTTTTGCCCTTCAGTTACTGCTTCAGTTGAGTCCTTTAAAGCACAAACCCCACACCAAAGGATGTTCCAAGCTCAAGACAAATAGAATGTGTGAGTTGGGATTTGTGGAGCCTTTAGTGGTGTACTACCTCCATACCAATCGCTGGTCTGTTTTGGCATCCTCAAATATCACCCTGCTAAATCATAGTGTCTCACATCCTCTACTTATCAGAGATTGTACGTATATGAATGACTGTCTGTTATCTTATTGCATTTACACTGTTATTAGCATTTCAGGCTGAAATTTTGGAGGAGATGGTCCACATGCTCGACTCAAGGTAACCTAATCCTACTTTGTAGCATTGAACTATATGTTGTGAATGACCTCATCCTATGCTCATCCAAAAAAGCTGCCCAGGGCAGTGATTGTGTGCTGTGGTTCAAGGCTGCTGATAAAGTATCCTGAAGATAAACATGTTAGGCCTGGGTGATTCTCAAATGTTTGAAGTAATAAACATGCCCAACAATCTAACAAATGTCTCAGTTCAGTCTTTGGAAAGATGAGTTGATGAGCACCATTTGGAAAGAGGAGGATTAGATCTTGACCATCTTCTTACCATGTAAACCGAAACCCCATCTCACACAGGGATCCAAACCTAGCTTTGCAGCAGCCACTTCAAAAGTGAAATAGTGGTAATTTCAGAAGAATCAGAATAAACTTTATTGGAATTGCACCGAGGTACAACGTGAATATGTACATACAGTCGTCCGAAAGATGGGTGGAGTGCACGAAGCTGCAACTACAGGAGAGCGCGGCCATTTTATCCTTATCAGATAATAATCTTAGATAGGAAAAGGGGGAGAAACATGAGGGTAGATAGTGGTATTACAAAAAAAAAAAGATATTTCACATCTTGTCCATCAGGACACGATTTGAGACATCAAAAACCTCTACCAGCAGGCACAATTAAAGCATGATCACATTTACATTTGACATTGAGGTGTTGAGATTTGTCCATGAGCTTTTTTTTTCCAGATCAGCAACAGTTTCTGAGGATGTTGTTTTCAGCCAGCAGTTCTGAAAAGCTTGCACAGAAAGTTTTCGGG